GCTGGCACAAGGAGTATTTACAAACCCTTCAGTCACGTGCCAAGTGGTATAGGCCTGCATTGGAAATTGCAGAAGGATCTTTGGTTGTTATCAAAAATGAAAACTTACCTCCCGGTAAATGGCTTCTTGGTAGAGTCCAGGAACTCCATCCAGGATCCGATAATGTCAACAGAGTGGCAACAGTACGTACGAAACAGGGCCTATTTAAGCGTCCTCTAGTCAAGCTGTGTGTCTTGCCTACGCAATAGTTTAAATTGCGATTTATGTTTGTGCTGTTTCCAATTAATATATTGCAGAATTTTTTCGGTTATAATAAAAGGAGTGGATCCTTTCATGGGGGGGAGAATGTTTGGTTTTGTTTGTTATAATTAATTTAACTTTGTCTGGAGTCCGCCCGGTATAGTAAATGTTTTGCTTCTTGGGAAAACAAAAAAAAGCAGTTTCGTTTGGCAGAAAAACGACACAACCGATCGAGGCATCGACGCGTGGTTTTGATAGTTTTGTTCGCTATTTTTTAGTTATCGTTATTAGTATTAGAAAAGTTAAAAAGTGCAAATATTAAATACGTTGACGCCAGCTCTTGGAGCATTACAGTTTCACGAATAACATTAACATCAATTTCGTGTTTTGGTCAAACTAAGGGGCTGTAGCGGATCAACAGCCAGCTGGCACGAAGAAAGAACAGAAATTCCTGGTAAGTCCCAAAAGTTAAAGATTAAAACACGATGGTCCTTCTTAGTTAGAATAAAAGTAATAAAATAATCAACAAAAACTAATGTCAATAAATAGGAATTAATTTTTTTTTAATATGGAAAAGAAAGCTAGACCGGGCCGAGTTCTAGTAAAATGCTCATTATGTGGATCTGTCTTTAACAAGGACTAGAAAAAAATGCACGAGGAAAATATTCACGGTGGAAATTTGGTTAAAATTAAAATTGTTACTGTTCCAGATAATCCAATAAAAAAAATAGAGACTTCAAAAGAGCATGCTAATGGTAGGTAAAGACATTCTTTATCTAAACTAAAAAAGTTGTTTTTTTTATCGTCTCCACCCCCCCCCCAAAAAGTGTGCCTCGGTACGCCCCTGCTTTAGGTATAGGAGATGGTATAGTTATTTTACTCAGAATTTTATGTAGAATTAAAAAATTTAAAAATATATGAAGTGTCCTGTTTAAAATAACAAAGTTAAAGACATTTCCGGTAAGTATTATTTTGTTCAAAATAATTTAGGAAAAAAGTCTAAAGCGAATAATTTACGCTATTAAAATTTTAAATCGATGTCTTTCGCGATTCCCAGACTGCAATGAAGGTTCGAAAATATTCCAGGAATATTCCCTATCGCCTAGGAATAATCCGCTTCATTCTAGGAATATTCATTGGGAATATTCCTAGAATGATCCTCTAAAACTTCCAAGCATCATCTAAGAACATTCCCAGTGAATATTCATTAGTTTAGTTGCAATACCTCTCACCGTTGCTGACGCACGCTTGATAACTATATATACCGATAGGTTAATAATATCAGTTGGAGATGTGCGTCTGTGATGGCACAACCAAACAATGATTGGAGTGGGACATTCACATAAGTCCCCAGCCTATCGCCACCTGACGTATATCAGGTAAAGTTTCATAAACTATGCTAACTGCCTTACCAGGTTTTTGGAATTTTTCCTGGGCTAAATCTTGAAATCTTTGAGCTATCAATTAAAAACATATTCATCTCAAAATTCTCACTACGGTCGCACACAGTAAGAGCCTCTTAATCGCGCAGCGAAGGAAACGGCCGAACTCTGATAAATGGTGAATGGATGCAGTGGTAACGTAGGTGACAAACATCGTCAACAACCAAGATGCCGAGCTAGGATTGGTTGTAGCGCTGCAGTGCTGAAGATATGTACATTGTATTTTATCAAACCTAGTACTGTAAACATAATGCTACTCTGTAGCTTCTGTATCCATAAATGATTCTGTGATATTATTTTAAAATAAATTTGTTTGATTTTGATTTTGATTTGAAACAATGATTAGACTGGAATGATCTACTCATCTACTAATATTCTTTTTATGATGCCTGGGTTAACCAAAAAGCGGACATTTGATTATGCCAGGAATATTCTGGGACGCTTGGAATATTCCTGGGAATATTCCTGACATGTGCAGGGAATGTGATTTTGCGGTCTGGGTTCCCTAGAAACTTCTAACGGACTACGTACGTGAAACACACTGTATATTAAACGTCATTTATGTGTTAATCTATACTTAATTATTAATAAAAGATCCAACAATATTTGTAGAAAAATTACAAAATGTACTAAACTAAACATTTATGAATACTGCTACTGCTAATTCAAAACTGATCCTGGCCACAGAAACAGCATTTGCATAAAAAAGTTGATATATCAAATAATAGTCAAATATCAATACTTTAACGTGGTATACTCGAATTTATAAAACAAAGTTGCTTCTTCAATTCTAAAAATTGTTAAATTTTAAACTAAATTTTCACCAGCGCCCCCTGTACGTAAAAATCTAAACAAAATTTTTTCATGGATTAATTTTCATTTATAAGATCTACATTTTGTCCAAATTTCAAATCGATAAGTTTTGAAATAAAAAAGTTATTTAAAAAAATGAAATTTCTTCATTTTTAACACAGTAAAGAAAAAAATAAAAATAAAAACAAAGTTGTCAACGGACGAGATTTTTTTTTTTTTAAGTCCTGCATTTATATGTAGAAATAAGGTAAAAAAGTTTTAATCGACTTCTTGAACCCTTGCAAATCGACCGTTCGATCCGCGAAACCGTAGTTAATAAGGAAAAATTCGTATCAATAATAAATTTCTCTTAGCGACGCGTTGCGCGGACTACCCTTGTGATGTTTTTCCTTAGCCGATAATTGGTATGTGATAACGCTCGCATGTTGCAAAAGTCGCTAATGAATATTTAAGGGTGCAAATCCCAAAAATGAATTGGCCCCCCACAGCCCCGACTCAAATCCGATCGAACATGTCCGGGACGCGTATTGGCATTGTGTACTACGATACAGAGCCATAGTGTTCTGAATCGTAGTAAGGATTGACAAAATTAAACGCCACTAAGTACAATACAATCCATACTACGATTCAGCACATCTCCCAGTTTGTGATGTTCTGAATCATAGTAGAGAATGTTGAAGTGTTTGCGCGAATGCAGCAGGCCATACTTTACTGCGATTCAGAAAATATTGGCAATATATGTGCCGCACGCATAAAGTGATAAGCCAGAGTTATAGGTTATGTTAGAAATTAATTGATAGTAGTGAAACAGATCCAACCAAAAATCTCACTGACAATATTTATTTTTTATTATCGATTTTTCAAGTTAATTAACTTAAAAATCGTTTTACCCTAAAATTTTATTTGGCTTTATCATCGACAATCCAGGATTGTCAATCCTTAATAGATTTTTTTATAAATATTTTAGTAGTTAATGCCCTCATGTTTTTCTTTCTTAAATATAAGAGAAAAAAGCAAAGGATTTTATATATTTAAAAAATAAAAAATATAACTTTAAATTATTATATCAAGTATAATCTATGTATTTTTATTTGGTGTCTATTAAAGAAAACAACACAATACAAAATATAATATAATATAATACAATACAATACAATACAATAAAATAAAATTTCTTATTTATGTATATTTTATGTTTATGTTTTTGCAAAATTAATAGTTTTATAAAACGTACAACTTTTTCAAATATTATTTAAATCCGTTGTGGTACGTTTATATCTGATATATCATTTTAAACTTATTAACAAAAAGATCGTTTTACCCAAAAATTTTGCAAGTATACTTGCAAAATTTTTGGGTAAAACGATCTTTTTGTTAATAAGTTTAAAATGATTTTTTTCCTTTGGGTTAATGTATATTTATTATTAAAACTGCAGAGAGTACCTAGTTTGTTTTTATTAATATTTATTAATAAATAAATTCCAATTAAAAATAATAATTTGTTTTTATTGATAAGGCGTGCAGCGTATTTGTAGGTAAGCTATCCAACTACAATTCAAATTAGAATACTATTTTCTGAATCGTAGTAAAGTATGGCCTGCTGCGGTCGCGCATACCCTACACCATTCTCTACTATGATTCAGAACATCACAAACTGGGAGATGTGCTGAATCGTAGTATGGATTGTATTGTACTTAGTGGCGTTTAATTTTGTCAATCCTTACTGCGATTCAGATCACTATGGCTCTGTATCGTAGTACACAATGCCAATACGCGTCCGGGACACATTGGGCAAAAAATTACGGTCGCCGGTCCAGCAAATTTACAGGAGCTTAGTACTTATTGAAGAATGGCAGCAAATTGATCAAGATCATTGTATACAGAAACTTATTGAAGGGATGCCAAGGTGTAAGGACGCTGTCATTTAAGCACGTGAAGTAAACACTCAATGGCAAAATTATTAGGGGATTAATTAAATTTTGTTAAACAAGTTTGTTCTGTTTCTTAATAAAATCGTATTTGTGGCAAAAATAAAAACTGTCATCCTCCATAGCAACCTTAGTACTTTTTCTATGGTACTTTGTACAGTAACATTATTAAAAACTGCAATGTTTTTTTAAAAACACAAAAATAAAGGTATTGAGGTGAACCAAAAACATAAATGATAATTAAAACTTAATTTAGAACAATACACTATTTTGCCACCCTACAGAGTGTCTTATATAGTAAAAAACATATTTTTGTTCAAACCTGTATATTTAAAATATGAGCAAATCTTCATTAATTTAACTACAATATTCTTCAAAATTTCTTTAAATCCAAGATTAAATACAAAAGTTATTTGTGATTGAAATTCATCGAAATATATACATTTATTTTCAATATTTACCTCATAAATGACTACATAATTTTCCTTAATAATGGATTCTGTACAGTCTGAGAAGTAATCCTAAAAAATATTTATGAAAATACTTGGCAGTATTGGGTATTGTTTTATTAACTTACTTGGAATGTGTCCACAATTCTGTGTAAAAATTCAATAACAAATAAAGGAGGAATCTCTTCCATACAAACTGCAACAAAACTTACACCACCCCTTTGTATTGAAATTAAATAATGATGGGGAGTTGCAATAACTGGAGCAATATCATTTGGATTAACTCTTTGGGCCTCTAAATAGTAATCACATATTGATCTTGAAATTATACTCCTCCAATGTTTTTCCAGAAAAACATCGCTAAAAATATTTATTTAAAAGCTACTGTATAATAATATACTATAATATTATTACCCTTGTGAATTAATAATAAACAAACTGTGTATCATTTTGATCAATTTTAAATTATTAGGTTAACTTTGACGTAAATTATGCTTTTAAACGTCAAGTCAGTGTTGCCAGATATATTTTTAAAAAATTTATGATCGTTGACTAATTTCTTTTTGGTCCTATAAAATTCGGAGCTAAATAATTCGGTTGCCTGATTTATAAATTGCATTCCTTTCTTTCTTCCGGCCACTTGCCCCACAGAACACAAGTGATTTACTACAAGCGGTAGTACAAGAAACTGAAGACCTCCAAAAAGACTGAAAAGTGCTGATCATGATACCATATGTTTTCTTGTACCATGGTGCTGACTACAAACAGAAATACAATAAAGATTGGTAGAAAGGGTTGAAGTGGGTCCAGCCAAGTAAAGTCGGTCCAGTTTATGCATGGTATGGTAGTTTTTTAATTGATTTTTGTGTAATTACCAATAAAGTTTTTTTTAATAAATATGCTGTTTTTATTAGTTGATTTTATGTATTTCTAAAATAAATTTTAACATTTTTACGACTTTACACGATTTTCGGTAGCCGAATAAAGCCTTATTTATAGATTGCCTTGCTTCCTTCCTCCCGTAGATTCTACACGAATCTATAAATGATTGTGTATCGTACTAAAAATCACTGCAACACTGCACAGAGTAGGGATGTTAAATGTATCAATAGTTATCGATAAAATTGCTATCGGTATTTATCGATAATTTTTTAAATTCTTCGAATTTCTATATATTTTTCTATTTATTGTGTTTTTCCGCTTATTTTGTTGGTACGTTCCTACCTATAGTCATAGTCTATGGCATAGACTCTATGCTATAGTACTATAGTTAAAAAAGAGTAAGAATATCCCATAGACAAGAAATGACTAGACGTATAACTGGTTGAAAAAACATTCTTCAACATCCATGCACGGGATTTTAAACCCGCTGTCTGTATTACAAACCGCGATTTTGAACCTTATAAGGCAGTGTTGCCACTTGTAACATAATTATCGAATTGTAACATAAATTTTTCTAAATCGATAATTGTAACATAATTTTTAATCCAAGTATCTGGACAAAATTAACTTAATTCTATCCAGATTAATTAATTTAATTAAGCATAAAGCCTGATTTATAGATTTCCTTCCTTCCTGCCGTAAAAGATCAACAATACCGTAGTGCTGTTTATAGATTCCCGTACGGTATTTATAGTTCTAAAGCCGGATTTATAGTTTTAAAGGTAACGGTAGAGGCAGCGGTAAAGGTAGAGGTAAAGGTAGCGGTAGCAGTATCACTTTCTGCAATTTATAGTTCAGAAAGTAGCGGTAGCGGTACTGACGGCGCATGCGTACTTTAATGCAGATTGTAATTTTGTTTCTAAAATTTAATAGCAAAAGGTTAAGTTTTCTATGAAAACATGAATTGCGAGGACAATGCTGTGCTTCTGGGCCATATGGCGTTGTGCGGAATATTATATAATAAACCCTGCAACACAATATATTATATATACATTATATTATACAATATATTATGTTGTATTGCAGGGTTTCAAGTACGTTATGGGGGTCGCTATAAAACGGAATTAAATCGGGAACGAGCTAAGAAACGCCATTTCCAGGATTAAAATAAAATAAAATTGACCGATAAAGAGTAGTTCTTTAAATACACAAATGACGGTGCCCATTTTTGACAAATTATCAAGTCTGGTTGCCCCTCGCATAAAAACTTACAAGGCGAGGCTGCCAACTAAAAACTGCCGTGTGATTGGCTGGAGTAGCGGTTGAGGTAAGAAAAGTTGAAAGATGGTCATCTCTTGCCGCTACCTTCTTGCCTCTACCTCTCTTACCGCTACCTCTGACAACTATAAATTGTTTCGTACAATATTCACTGCCGAACTCGGCTACCGCTACCGCTACCTTTACCTCTACCTTTACCGCTGCCTCTACCGTTACCTTTAAAACTATAAATCCAGCTTTAAGGTAACGGTAGAGGCAGCGGTAGCGGTAGCCAAGTTGGGCAATGAAACAATTTATAGTTTTCAGAGGTAGCGGTAAGGGAAGTAGAGGCAAGAACGTAGCAGCAAGAGATGACCATCTTTCATCTTTTCTTACGTTAACCGCTACTCCAGCCAATCACATGGCAGTTGACAGCCTCGCCTTGTAAGTTTAGTGTTTATGCGAGGGGCCGCCATTACCGCTACCGCTACTCTCTGAACTATAAATCCAGCTTTATAGTATTTTTAACAAATTTTATAATTTTCCAAAAAATCGATAATATTTTCAACCCTGCTTCTTTAACTTTTTTATGATTAAATTATAATTATTATAACATAATTATTACAATTATTGTAACATAATTTTCCGAAAATTCGATAATTTTATTAACCCAATTCGATAATTTCAACGTTTACATCTGGCAACACTGTTATAAGGTCCATAATATGGATATATTATATGGACCAAATCAACGAAGCGAAACATGTTTTTTGTGTTGTCTGCTGAAGCAGACAGGTCGTAGACGGCCTTCCTTGAGAAGACAACATGGGACTCCCAGTACAAAAATACACTGGTCAGTACAATTTATACAAATCTACAATAGATTAATTTGATTCCTGAATAATTTCCACGATGGATGGTCAAAATAATTAAAGATAATATGTGCATAGAGCCATTCGCCATGGTGCGTGGTTGGAATGGACTACAAAATGAAGGTTAAGCAATAAAAAATCTATACATGAAAAACAAATTGGTACGAAATATTTAATGGTTAAATTATATGGATGATTGTAAAAGTGTAATGTTATGTATGATGATAAGTAATTTTGGACAATGTTAAATGTATTGAAAAGAAAAACGAAGAAAGAAAATGGACATATTAATAAATAAACAAGAATATATCGAAAAATAAGTGTGAGAAAATTTTTTTAAGTGATACCTACAGTGAAATTTGTGAAAAAAATTAGACAAAAATTAGTATTAAAATGAACTATGAACAATAATAATTTAAAATAAATGATTTAAGGGATGAGTTGTACTCAGATTCTCTTAATTGAGACCCTTGAACATACAGTGCTTGCAAATCCAAGTCCGACCGGTTTGAGAAGGACGCGTGAAAATAACAAGGATAGAACGCCAAACAGAAGGCGCTTACAATACGCACGCCTGACGCTCTGACCAATCAAATTCTGTTTGGCATTCTATCCTTATTCTTTTCACGCGGGTATTGAACAGCCGTCCTTTCCAGTGCGGTCGGACTTGGATTTGCAAGCACTGTATATAAACATTCAAAAAACATAATGAGCTGGCCAAATAGCTTTTAATTAAGCTAAAGGCCATTACCCCTGAACACAGTGTGTGTTCAGATTGAAGAAGAAGAAGAAACATGAGACCACAGATTATAAAGACTTTATACGTGTAGTGGTATCTTGTCTATGGAATATTCTAGGGTCCCTATATATATGTAACGTATACGTAACGTATTCATATTCATTTATTCATTTATTTAATATAATAAATATAATAAAGTGGTTTAAAAAGTACGCCAAAGTTTATTTTTAATACCTATTTGTTTAAAATTATAATATTTACTTTTTTGGTTTTAAGAACAATTTTTGATTATTAAAAATAGTTCTTAAAATCACATAAAATATTTTGTGCTGGTGGAAGTTAATGATACTTATCGATAATTATTCAAAAATTATCGATAAGTATCAATAATTTTTTTTTATTGATAATAACATCCCTAGCAGTGCTAGGCTAGGGTTAAACTCTGTGCTAGGCTAGCACCAAGATACATACACCTGGGCTAGCACAGAGCTTAACGGCGGCCATTTTTGTTGTTTACAATTTTTGTGCAAGAACAGACCTTGTTCTTCTTTTAAGGGAAATCAGGCTTAACACGTTTCTCTCTGCACTTCATCTGGCAACACTGATTAGAACTTTCTAAGGATTATAAACAGCATAATAATTTTACATTATAAAAAACAACATAAGCAAACAAATTTGAGAATTAATTAATTAATCAAAAACCAGGTTCAGGTAGTTAAACCCACAATCCATTGGATCCACAATGGATTGTGGTTAAACCCAAAGTTATTTGGGTACACCTAAATATATTGGCAGCACTTTTTGGTTCTTTGGGTTTGTTCTATATTTTTTATATGTGCTGTGGTTTGACCAGAGATAAACGGTTTGACTTTGACAGCTTGTCAATACCAAGTAACATATTAAAAAATGAGTTCTTTATTAAATTGCGTACGATTGTCAAAGGAGATATGTAAAAATAATAAAGTTATATTACTGGCTGTTAGACATCGTAAGTTGTTAGAAATGATAAATACGGATTACATAATTTTGTTTGGTTACTTTAGATTGGAATAAGGATTACAAACCCGGGCCATATCCTAAAAGTGAGGAAGAAATGGCAGCCGCAGCCAAAAAGTACGGCCTTACAAGATCAGAGTACAAACCTTATCCTGATGATGGACAGGGAGCAGGAGACTACCCCAACATGCCCTTAGTATCTGCCGATTCAAAGGACCCCTTTTACCCATGGGATAACCCAGAATTAAAAAGAAATTTTAATGAACCGGTAAGTAATATTACATTTTAAATAGGTAGATTAGGGATGCTAATTTTTTTAAAAATATCAATTTTTAGAATCAATTAAAATCAGAGCTCCAAATATCAATTCAGAAATAAATTGGTCCAAATAATCAATGTTTTAAATAATCGATGTTTTTATATAATTGCTGTTGCAACCAGCTTTTTTTCATATAATATAATATATGAGCTGGCTTATACTTTATTAATAACAAATTATAGTATTTATACAGTTTTCAGGTAGTTAACATATAGGTAATATACCTATTATGCTTTGTATAAGCTGAACTTTTTTTAAACAAATTTTTTTGAATTGAAATTGTAGAGAAATTTAACAACTGCTAAAACTGCAGAAACTTGTATAGGGTTAGTTGGGGTAAATGTGGACTAGTTTTAAAGTTTTTGACACACTTGTGCAAATATACCTATATAAAATTAACATCATTATTTGAACAATTTAAAGAGCATATATTTTTACTGGAAGAATAAAAATTGTGTTTCATGTTTTCTTATTTACCCCACACCTTACAGGGGAAATTACAAACAATTACTTTGATGACCATAGAAAAATATATTGGGGTAAATATACAGGGTGTCCGGGAAAATGTGGGAAATCTCTCGGATTCAGATAGAACATGAAAAAATAAGATGACACGTTCCTATAAATTTTTTTCCTACTGGCCATCCTTACGGAGACATGGGCCCCGAAAGGACACCCCTGCAAATTGGTTTTTCTTGAATAACTTTTAAAGTACTAAATATAATTTAATAAAAATTTAATATGATGGACCCTGGTAAGGACCTCTTAAAATAGTGTCATTGAAACATGTTTTGCTTTTTTTGTTTACCAGGGGCGGACTAAGTTTTACTTTTTAATGCTTAAATTTTGAACACCCCGTATGACAAAGACTTAAAAAAACTAAATCTGCATAGCTTGAACCTTAAACTAAAATAAAGGTACTCTTGTTTATTGTCAATAAAATGAACCGTTTTCGAGAAAAAGAATAATAAACAAATTCATGTTTTATTTTTTAATAAAAAGGACCATAAAAAAATAATATCACCTATTGTTGCAAACCTTAAATTGAAGGACGATAATTCGAAACAATTAATTAAAAACTTTATAAGAGGGTTCAAAATGTGTTCCGTGAACTCTGATACATTCGCGGGCACGACGAATTGAGGACTGCTGTGCCCGCCAGAATAACCCAGAATTGTTTCTTATCATATCACAATAAAACGTGATTATCTGTAGAAGTTCCTCCCTAGTATCTATCGGAGTGGAATACACCAAGTTTTTTTTAGGTATCCCCACAGGAAAAAATCCATCAGCCTAAGGTCGGGAAATCGAGGAGGCCAGTCAATAGGTCCTTCTCTACCTATCCAACGGTTTGGATAAAGGTTATTCAAGTGCTCCCGCACAGCAACGCTGAAATGAGGTGGTGCCCCATCGTGCAAGAAGTACATGTTTAGGCGGGTTTCAAGTGGTAAGGGCTGGAAAGAATAGTGCTAATGAAGTTTACATTATTTTGTTGCTGATCCAATAGCCAGTTTGCAAACTGCTTTCTACAAGGAAAATCTTCAGAAATAAGTTTATGCACTTTTTGCATATAATAAGGATATAACAGCTGTTCTTAAAGAACATCATGCACTATTGTTTTCGACGTATTAAACTGTGCTGATAATTTTCGAGTGCTCGTTGAAGGAGTGTCATCTACAGCATTTAAAATATTTTTCAAACTTAGCTAAAATTATGGAGAAAGTCAATAATATTACTTTAATAACTGAAATTGTCCACCACTCTCTCTAAGACGTTGGTCAATTCGTTAAAATGTCTTCTGATTTCGAATAATAAGAAGAGAATGGTGAACAATTTCATTTATTAAAGTAATATTATTGACTTCCTTCATAATTTTAGGTACCTACGTTTGTAAAAAAAGTTTTCTTTTCACGGATGAAGCAGGATTTACCAAAAAAGGTAACACACATGTATGGGCTGATGAAAATCCTCATGCCACTATTGTTTCGCATTTTCAACATCAGTTCCAACCAATTAATACGTGGGCAGGAATCATTGGCAATATTTTGATTGGACCATTCGTATTGCTGGCACGATTGAATGGACAACTTTTTTGGAGTTTCTCCAAAACGCTTTTCGGGATTTAATAGAGCCCTTACCACTTGAAACCCACCTAAACATGTACTTGCACAACCTCATTTCAGCGTTGCTGTGCGGGAGCACTTGAATAACCTTTATCCAAACCGTTGGATAGGTAGAGGAGGACCTATTGACTGGCCTCCTCGATTTCCCGACCTTAGGCTGATGGATTTTTTTCTGTGGGGATACCTAAAAAAAACTTGGTGTATTCCACTCCGATAGATTCTAGGGAGGAACTTCTACAGATAATCACGTTTTATTGTGATATGATAAGAAACAATTCTGGGTTATTCTGGCGGGTACAGCAGTCCTCAATTCGTCGTGCTCGCGAATGTATCAGAGTTCACGGAACCCATGTTGAACCCTCTTATAAAGTTTTTAATTAATTGTTTCGAATTATCGTCCTTCAATTTAAGGTTTGCAACAATAGGTGATATTATTTTTTTATGGTCCTTTTTATTAAAAAATAAAACATGAATTTGTTTATTATTCTTTTTCTCGAAAACGGTTCATTTTATTGACAATAAACAAGAGTACCTTTATTTTAGTTTAAGGTTCAAGCTATGCAGATTTAGTTTTTTTAAGTCTTTGTCATACGGGGTGTTCAAAATTTAAGCATTAAAAAGTAAAACTTAGTCCGCCCCTGGTAAACAAAAAAAGCAAAACATGTTTCAATGACACTATTTTAAGAGGTCCTTACCAGGGTCCATCATATTAAATTTTTATTAAATTATATTTAGTACTTTAAAAGTTATTCAAGGAAAACCAATTTGCAGGGGAGTCCTTTCGGGGCCCATGTCTCCGTTAGGATGGCCAGTAGGAAAAAAATTTATAGAAACGTGTCATCTTATTTTTTCATGTTCTATCTGAATCCGAGAGATTTCCCACATTTTCCCGGACACCCTGTATACATTATTAATTATGTATCTGTTTAGATTTTTTTAAATTTAATGCCATGTTCACATTTACCTCATGAGTTTAGATCAGAAAGGCGAGTATAAATAAAATTCAGTTTAGTGATAAACAAATATACCTACAAATTAACAAATTTTTTAGGCTTGTTTTAATACAGAAATTCTATTTTTATTTATAATAAATTCTTTGTTCTTTTAGAACTAACATCTGTTTTGACAACATAAAAAATGGTTTTTGAATCATTTGCCAATAAACCAATAATTTTAATCTTATTAACTTCTTCATCTATGTTTACAATAGTACCAACGTAGGTAAAGACAGTAACCTCCTTTAAACGTATTTAGAGTAAATTTACCACCCTACGACTTTGAAATATCTGACACAGGTTCCAAATAGATCTTATTTTCCAACTTACTTTCATCAAAATTTTCATCACAAAAGATGTCATCTTCAGCGTCTAAATTATGTTTCTTAAATTTCTTTGTTTTTTTCAATTTTTTGTTGATTCCATTTAGTGGCAATTTATTTGAATCCATCTCCATGGAGGGATGGACTGTTTAATTTTTCTTTTAGTCCTATTTCTTTTAACACCTAAGGCATTTGCTTTTTGAGTCTTATTTTTTCAGCTTCTTCTACCTTACTAAAACGTCACTCAATGTTAATACTTCTGACTGTTGCTTAAGTCTACAATTTACAGTTTGCTTTTCATAATTTTCAATAGGTCCCTTACTAGATTAGTAGATTACATTGCCATGGTATATCGTATTGTGACTCATTTTCTTTTATTGAGTTAAATTCTTATTTGGAAAATTTTAAACTCTCTACTATTGTATACTTGGATTGAAGTAATGACACTTTATATAACTATAAGTTTATTAACATTATACTTATTTACTTATATAATATTAAGGAATTTTAAATATTGTCAGCATTTAATTATGACAGTTCGTGAGTGACACCTTCTACCAACAATTAGTGGTCACCACAGTTTCTCCCCCACTTAGTCAGAAGTTACCACATAGTCTTCAAAACGCAGCGGTCTTCGTCTATTTCGCTGGGGTCGCTGTTGTGGTGGATCTGGAGCCGGCACTGGGTTGGCAGGAACTGCTGCATCCACTGGATCTGGAGCCTGGACAATTATTGGCTCAGGAGCTGGTGCATGTATAGCAGGCGTAGTCATCCTTGGGATATCGAAGGACTGACATGGACCATACGTTACTTGGTTTCTTGATTTGACTAACGTTGGTCTTAATTGATTAACATGACGTTTTAAATTTCTTCCGGAATCTAACGTGACTAAATAATGTCGGGAACCAAATCTTTTCTTGACTTCACCAAATTGCCATATGTGACGATTATTAACAAACAATCTCACCTGGATCCTCTCCCCCACTTGAAAAAAACGGCAGGCTTCTGCGGAAATCCGTGACGGTTCAGGTTTGTACGGAAAAATGGCATCTAAACGAATTCGAAGTTTTCGATGGAGATACAGTTCTGCTGGAGAACTTCCACAAGCTAGAGGCGTCGCTCTATATCGGAAAATAATATTCTGTACCTTTTCTTGGATTGGATTTTGTTCATAGGCAGCAGCTTTAAGCCTTTGCTTTAAGGTTTGTACATTTCGCTCTGCAAGACCGTTTGTTGCTGGATGTCCTGGAGCTATGAATTTTTGAAAAATTCCATTGGCATTACAGTACTTTCGAAACTCTTCACTTTGAAAAATTGTTGCGTTGTCTGAAACCATGACATTTGGGTATCCATGTGTAGCAAAAATATTTTCTAAAAGTGTAATTGTTGAAGAACTTGTGGGTGAATCTTTTATGACTTTGATTTCTGCCCATTTTGATTTTGCATCTACCACGACCAGGAAATTTCTATTTTGAAATGGACCGGCATAGTCAATATGTATTCTTTCC